GCTGAGCACTGAGCTGTGCCAAATGGTGGGGTTTTATCGGAAAGGTAATACCAGAGCTGTTTGCGGCCACGCTGAGATCCCTGGGTGTGAAAAGCAGAGCGCGTTCGTTTATAGTCAGGCGTTAGCAAGGATGCCAGTGCGCCTGCGCAGTTCCTGCTCGCTAACGCTTCTGTTAAACAGCTACTGCTGTTGCACCTTTGGTGAGGTAGGTTCTGTGTTTTTCCCACTTCACTGATAAAAATAGTAAGGCGGCCAAGGACCACGTGGCCAAATGATGGCGCAACAAAGCAGCAAACCAACTGCAGCTCCTTTGTTCAGCATTTGGCCCTTTGCCATTTTATTGTCAAGAAAGCCTACGGTATTTTTTATTTGTGGCAAGATGTAAGCCCTTGCGCGGAGCACTGCTCCTCTGGTTCTGAAATGGGTAGCCAGGCACTGGGTGCCAGAATGAGATTGCCTGGTTTCGTTGTTTCATTTTCTCTTCGTGGCACATGGGACAACAATATGCATAGTTCAGTAGCAGCCAGCAGAGGCGGCATCTTCATGAATTATTTTTTGCAAACAACAATTTGCCATTTCCATTCCTCCCCCAAGGATGCTGAAAACAAACCATGTCACTGCTGGCCCTGCAAGATACAGTCAGGGGAAAGTCCTCAATGCAACCTGACATTTCTCCGTGCAGAATTCAACCTTCAAAATACAGCTGTGCAGCTTGGGGGGCAGCTTAGAGTAAAAGTGACTTACCTGTGATCCGCTTGGCAGGTATTGATATTTAATCTCCTTCATGTTCCTGCTGCAGGCCTTCTCTCCAGAATGTTAGATCCCACCAGCACCTGCCTATGAGAAACCTTGTTCTTTCAGACCCGTGAATACTGTCTCTTGGAGGCATCCAAATGACCTTTTGAATCCTTCTCTGCATCCTCCTTTCCGGGCCAGGCTACTTTCCCTCTAGCATCGGGCAGGTTCACAATTCAGCTCAATGAAAGGATAGCATTTCCAATTTTATCTCCAATTTGCGGCTTTTAATGCAGATTTGCTGCACAGGGAGACTTACTGTGCTCATGAAACTAGCCCTGAGGTGGCTGTCTTGGAGATTCCATGCTAAAGGCAAATTAACACCTCGTTAATAAATTAAGAAATTCACACTAGGACATTTGTACTTCAGAGGCAACGAAGGCTGTGGAGTCTAACGGGACCTGGGATCATGGCGCCCCAGGACTGGTGGCTCTGCAAGCCCTTGTCTGACCTGTCACGTCACCCCGAACAAGTCACCGTGCACTCCGGCTTTCCTCAGTGACCAGGTCCTGCATCTGGATACCAGGACACGGCTCTGGGTCTTTTTACCTCCTCGTGTGCCCAGGAGAGCACAGCTCAGCCCAGCACCAGTGCAGCGTTAGGCAGCATCCCCCACTGAGCCCGACTCCATCAAAGCACGTAAGCTCAGCCTTAGAGCCAGCCAGCTTGAGAATCACGTTCAAAGTCAAGCAGATGTTTTAAAGCTGAATCTGGATGGGTGTTTCACTCTGCATGTTGTACTTTTCCAGCAGCTAAATGAGAGCAGCGTTACAGCTGAGAGCTCAGTGATGCCAATATTTTTCTCTGCAGTAGCAAGTGCTCTGCTGTCCTGTGGTGCCTTTCCCCTGACCCGGTCACCTGGCCTCAAGGGCAAGGAGGAGCACGTGTAGGGGTAACTAAATGAGACCTTGTGATGACACCAGAGCACTATGTCCATCTGGGGCTGGACCCACGCTGCTCCAGCCTGCTGGACTCGTCATTCCTCGCAGTCTCTTAACTCTGCTTCTCTCTACACTTGTTCCCATTTCTGGTCCTCTCCCTTCTCCAAGTACATGTGGAGGTGACCAACACCCTTTCTTGCTGTCGTCTGCATCCTTTGATTGTACCTTCCTCCAGGTTCCCCCAGCTCTATCTCCAGTTCGATGGGTATACACTTGCACCTCTGCGTTTCCATCATCAGACTTGGTCCCAGTTAAATTGTTATGCATTACTTCAAAGTACCTGGTTTGAACCTTAGTGTGAGAAGTTGCTGGTGGCACACAGTGAAATGACTCAGTCCTTGCTGCATTTCTGAAGAGGTTTGTGGGGGCAGGGCCAAAATTGCAGTCCCCGGAGAGATGGATAGCAGCATGGTGAAAAAGCAATAATGTTTGAACATCATTGCTTCAGCAGTAGTTCTCAAAATCTACAAAACAGTTGGGTGTTTTGTTTTTTTTTTCCTGGGGGTGGCTTGCAACTTGTATAATGCATAGACAATAAACCAGACTGATTAGGTAGTTTATCTTAGGCCAGATCTAATTTACATGAGGGAATTGCTTCCCAAGATTGGGACTGGAAACAGAAGACTCTATTTATACTGCTTGGTGCAAGTGCTGCTGTGAGCCGTGCTTGTAATGGGTAAGCTATTGAGACTGATGCAAAAACTAGTGCAGTGGAGTACTTTTTCAGCAGCCTGATGACAGTCTTCTAGAAGAAACATGACCTTGTTTTCTTTTCTAGCATACATTTTACGAACTGCTTTTTACAATGTTATGAATTGTCACTAAGATACTTCGCACGTCAGCCGCAAGTTCCCTGCCTGCAGATGCTGCCTCACTGCCGTACGCCTTGCACAGTCTCTCTTAACCCTGAGCAGATTCAGGGCATGGGCAGACTTGTCAGAAGACGTAGGGCTCAGACTAGTGATCCTGACGGAGACGGAGTATGGGCAGCAGTTCAAAGCTGAGAACACACTTGGAGGCACATCACATTTTGCTCTCACTGTCAGCTTTGGTTTTAATGTTTAAGTGTCCTGTTTACAACAACCAGCATCAGAGGGTCTCGCAGTGAAAGGTTGTCTTGTTGGAGGGAGACAAGTAGTGGAAAGGGTGTTTTACCCCTTCTTCCAGTTGGGACCACACATTCCTGCCTACACATTGCTGATTTTCCCTCCTTGGGCTCCTTTCACACCTAGAAAACTAATGGATCAACCACTCAGAAGTGCTTTAAAAAGCACTGGCATATTTGGGAGACTGGAAAATGAGTCCGTAACTGTCAGCATCCTTTAAATCATTAGTAAATTGCTGTCAATCACAAAGTTCAGCTGAGATCTGGCCTGGAGTGTTTGTAATTGTGAATACGTATATATGAAGGCGGCCATTTGCAGATAGAAAAATGAATGAAATGTAAGTGCATGCAAGAAACAGTAAAGTTGGATAAGTACCAAGTAGTAATTCTATGGGAAGCTAACAATAATATTTCTACATTACACAGGGGGAAGCTGTAATTTGTCATCTGGTTTGTGGGAGTTTCCTGCTTGCAAACCTCTCTGCAGATGCTCCTGGGGGATTCTCCCAGTGCAAGAAGCGGTTGCTGATTGTCACTGCACTTCATTCTGTTGTTTTTGTTTCCAAATCCAAGGAGCGCAAGTTTCCGAAGTTTGTGTCCAAAGAAATGGAAAACATGTACATTGAGGAGCTGAAGTCGTCTGTCAATCTTCTGATGGCAAACTTAGAGAGCATGCCTGTGTCAAAAGGAGGTTCCGAGTTCAAGCTGCAGAAGCTGAAACGTAGTCATAACACCTCAATAATTGACATGGGAGAAGAAAACGAGAACCAGCTTTCCAAGTCAGACGTTGTGTTGTCATTCTCCCTGGAGGTAAGCGTCCACGCACAACAGTGTGCAGAGTTTGTGGGAATAAAAATCACAGCAACCGACTTCTGCTCAGTTCTGACTTAAGTGAGGTGGAGAGAGGTCAGTAGAAATCACCTTCTGGTTGCCATGAGGAACAGCTCCTCCCTGAGTTACCAGAAGCTTTGTCTGTGGTCAAACACTGTCCTTTCTGGTGTCTCACCATCTTGTTGAAACTAACTGTGTG